TGATGGATATACTCAGTAAAACAGAAACTTATAAGTACTTAATGTGGATACACACATTTATATATGTATACACAAAGATTATCACTAACTCAATAAGGAAAATATTTTTGGAAACTTGCCAAGGCACAGTCCTTAAACATATGAAAAGATATTCAACTTCTTTTGTAATAAGAGAAACCAAAATTAAGATGCCATTCTTACAGTGACATTTACAAAAATTCCATTTGTCAAGCTGTGCAAAATACAGACACGAATTGCTGGTGGGGATTCAAAATGGTATAATCTTTATGGAGAGAAATTTAGTAATATGTAACAAAACTGTGTGTGTTCAGTCTTTGACCCAGAAATTTATTCTATGCTATTTGTCCAACAACATGAAAGAGATTTATGTATATGATTGTTCATGACAAGTATTACTTATAATAGCAAAATATTACAGACAACCCAAATCCCCTTATCAGGAGACTGGTGAAATAGACAGATACGTAACAGACTATGTTATTTCCAAAAATGAAGCTCTGAACTTAACATAGTAATACATATCAACAAAGATGCAAAATGTATATCATAGGTTATCTTGTAAAGTAAATGAAAAATGACAGTATATATTTTCAAACAAACCCAAAAGAAGATAAACCTAATGCAATGGTAGAAAGGGGAAGGGAAGTCAGGGAAGGGAACAGAAAGTATCTGAATCCATCTTTTCTTATGCTTTTGACTTTTGAAATATGTTAACATACTCAAAAAACAAAGTAAAATCAACAAAAACACTCAACTCAATATAAACAGACAAGGTTACTTATTAATTACCTAAATACAACAGAGAGAACAAAACAAAACAAAAAAATTAATTCAAGTAACTTTGAGCATAAAACTTTGATTATACACCCCAAGTGGGCTCTATTCTAAGGCCAAAGAAAAACAAAGAAAATTTGAATTTTATTGGTTGTCGGTGGTGGTGTTTTCACAGCAATCCCAATATTACACTGTATTATAGGATTTGGCAAATAAATAGATTTATTCATGCATTTGTAATTCAGATTTGAACTGTGGGACAGGACAATACAAACATAAAGTGAGAGGAGATGAAAAAGCCTAATTCTAACTAAAAGTAAGTATTTCTACATAAATGTATTGTGTTTTTTAGGGAAAATTATGTCTTAGCTCTGTTACCAGGAAGACCTAGACATACTAACCCTCTAAATGGAGAGGGGAGTTCAGTGAAATATTTCCAGATTGGGAGAGAGGGGAAGTCTCTTGCATGAAGCAAAGTCAACAAACAACAGAGAGAATGGTAGAAGCAGAGAAACACCACGGCACTCATTCAGGCAACAGTCACCAACAGATGCTAAAATCGCGGAGAAAAAGGACAGTCGCGCGGTCTCACAATGTCTTTTTATAGGTTATTTATGAATCACACAGCATGGAGGCACCTTTACAAGGGACAAATCTGACCGATGCCATGCTAACCAAATGATCAAATTTCATATCACTCGTGTGCCAGCATCACTTGTGCTCACTAACATGATACAGCCAATGTGATCCACGTTGTATTTCTGCTCAGTTTAATCTGATGCCAGCAATAAAGAAACAATTTGGAGTCATCCAAATTGAGGTGTACACACACACACACACACACACACACACACACACACATCAGCCCAAATTTCTCAGTGACACAAAAGAAAAACAAATGAAAAAGCTAAAGAACTATTCTAGATTTAAAGAGATTGTAAGAGATAGGACAAATACATGAAATGTGTACTTCTCTAATGAACCTACAATAGTAAGCAGTGACTGAAAAATTAATTAAAAAATCATTTTTACATTACAATCTATGTTATCAGATTACAGAAGTAAAGCACACAGTCATTTCAATAAGTGCAGAAAAAGGACTAGGTACAATTCAATATACACTTACAATTTTTTACAGATTTCTTTAAGGCATCCAAAGCATTTAGTTTCACAGGGAGTACAGGTTGAGTATCCCTTATCTGAAATGCCTGAAGCCAGAAGTTGTTTCAGATTTCACTGTTCGGAAATGCTTCAAAATCTGCAGTTTCTGAACTCAATAAGGTTTTATTTTGAAACATTTCAGACTTTCCACTTTCAGATTAGGGATGCCTAAACTGTATGTACAAAAAAAGCCAATAACAAACACCATATTCACTGAGGAACAGTTTGAAACACTTTTCTTTTAAACTTCAGAATAAGAATGCCTCTAACCATCCCTGCTATGAAAAATTATAGAGCAGGCATCAGTCATGATAGTGAAAGTACAAAAACAATTAAGAGGTAAACTGGGGGCTGGGGATTTAGCTCAGTGGCACAGCGCCTTCCTGGCAAGCATGAGGTCGTGAGTTTGATTTCTGGTACTGGAAAAAAACAAAAACAAAAACCATGCAAACAAACAAAAAAAAGAGGTAAACTGGTGGAAAAGGAAGTGGAAATACTGTCACCATCAACAGGATTGTGTATACAGAAAATCCCAAATAATATACATATAAATTTATAAAAACTTAGTTGAGTTCAAAAAATCAACATGTAAAAAACACTTCTTTGTTTACATACTTATAATAAACATTTTCAAAACAAAATTTTAAAACTCCATTTGCCACACAACAAAATATATACCTAGTTAACAAAATATGTTCAGGACTTCAACTAACAATATCTGTTTTCCCCAACTTGCTTCATAGAATTCAGAGCAATCTCTATCAAACTCTCAGTGAGTTTTCTTTGTTAGAAATTGACAAGTAGATAGTTTTTTTTGTTGTTATTTGCTTGGCCTTTTAGACAGGGGCTCGATATGTAGTTCAGGCTGGCCTTGAGCTTGCTTTGTAGCCTAGGTTGGTTTCAAACTCACAATGGCCCTCCTGCCTCAGCCTCCCGAGTGCTGGGATTATAGGCATGAACCACCACACCCGGCTGACAAGTGGATAGGTAAATTTATATGAAAATTCAAAGCCAAGATACTTCTAAAGAAACAGAAGTAAGGAGACTTATTTTGTCAAGTCACAGAACTTACTGTGACACTACAGAATGCAGTTAGTGGCCCGGGGAGGTACAAATGGACTCTGAAAGAGCTGAAGGCATGTACAGATCCTCGGCCTACAAACACAGGAGGCCCGTAGAGCAGTGGTAAACAACTGACTTGCTAATAAACACTCTGAGACAACTGTGTATCTGCATAAAAATATAAAACTGAGTTCCTCTTTTATACTGTTCACAAAAACCAATGCAAAATGTATTGGGATTGACCTAATAAGAAGAACAAACATGCAAAGCCTTTAGAAGGAAATATAGGATATCTTCATGACCACAAAGTAGGAGAGGACGAAGTAAGACACAAAGAAAAAGGTTTAAAATGAGTCTGCTTAGGAATAGAGACAGAATATACAAATGGACAAAGGCCAGACCATAGATGACGTTAGAATTCTGCCTGGAAATCTCAGCAACAGGCCCAGGGAGCCGAACCACAACTCTGCAGTCATCAGCCCAGATGACCAGGACCTGGTTAATGCGGGCCATCTTCTGGTTTTTCGCCCCTGCTTCTGATTCAGGACTAACAAGAGAAACCAAATGTGCAGGCTGGGGATATAGCTCAGCAACACAGCACCTGCCTGGCAAGTGCGAGGTCCTGAGTTCTATTTCCGGTACCAAAAAAAAAAGAAAGAAAGAAAGAAGGAAACCAAATACGCTCCACAAGCAAATCACTTAAGACGCTCTGCTTCTGATTAGCTGGTCTCCAGCCTGCCCATGCCAACAGCTTCCAACCAGAGCAGGCTTTTCCTTTTTTCCACTGTACTCATAAATCTTTCCCTCCCTTTGCCTGCCTTTGAGTCTCTACCAAAGGCAAATTATAGCTTGCTTAAGCAAGCTCTGCATCAGTAGCCTCTTTGTGCTCTTAGTTGGGTGGTTTTTACTTATTTCCACAGAATTAAGAATTTTGTTTATCAAAGGTCTCCATAAACAGAGTGGAAAGACAAGCTTTAGGGTTGGGGAAGGCATTTGCCACACCTGTAGCCACCAAAGATGCAATGCACAGCGTCTGTGAAAACTCCTAAAATCAGTGGGGAAAGCCACACCCATAGAAAAATGAGAAATGTGCTTGAATGGACACTTCATAAAACAGGGATTCAAATGATCAACTTGGAAAACACTTCGGCCTCATTACTTATTAGGAAAACACAATAACCCTGTGCAGTCGAAGAAAATAGAGTAGCTGGCCTGATGGGTCACTTCCTCAACCCAGCGAGCATCAGGACCCAGGGGCCCATACCTCCTCCTCTGCTCTAGTCGAGGCCCTCAGTGGAGGGTGAAGGGTCATGCTTAAGGCTTTTTTCAGTTTAAAAGATTCTGCCTTCCTAAGAGGGGCAGGGGGAGTATGGCTGAGGCATGCCTGCTTCCGATCCTTAGTGTGGGGACAAGGGAGGATGCAAAGCTGGGGTGACCCAGGCAGTTAAATCCATACTCAGGAGGCCGTTCTGTAAAACCAAAGCGTGTGGGCAATCTTTTAGAATGTGTCATCCTCAAACCTGCCTTTTCTGTTCCTCCAGCAAATAGCGAAGCCCATAAATATGAATAGTAATCTTCAAAGTGTGCTTCATAGAGATTTCCATTTTAAGATGATAAAAATCAAGGTCCAGAGAGGTAGAATTTTCCCAAGGCCATATGGTACAAGGGACTAGAATACAGGTCTTTTGACTCGACACCCATAGCTCCATCTTCTCCCCACCGCGTGCTACGTCCTGTGAGGACGTCTCAGCCTCACCCCCTGCCCTCACCCGGCACCTCAGCGCATGCAGCCCCAGTCACTCTGAGGCCGCCTCTGCCTCCCACCCAGCAAGAGGCTAAGTGGGCTCCTTGGGTTTGAACTGTACATTTTGTGCTTTGTCTCAATCAGTAGGGCACATTCCTCTTCCAAATCCCTTGCCTAAGCAAAAGAGGACATGAACTTGGCTGGGGCATCACTCATCTCTGAGCAAAAGCACACTTACCTTGTCCCAGCAGCAGCAGTAGCGGCCCCACAAGGAAAACGCCTGGCCGCAGCCCCATGTCAGATGTCAGGTGTCCTGGGCCTCTGGGCGAACGGCTTCCTTCCAAGGATGGATGAGTTAGCACGCCTCCTCCTGCTTTTATCTCCCCTGGGACTGATAGGGTACCTGTCATAAATTTTACTGTGTTCACCTTTGAAAGGGGGCAGTGGCTGGCTGTAAACGATAAATATTAACATTTAGGCAGAAGAGTCAAAATGGGTAGCATGTTCTAGGCATAGGCACTAGGAGACCAGGTGCTCATAGCAGTTTTCATGTGGCCATCTTTATGTGGCCTGCCACAGTGGGAGCTAGAAATTGCTACTGAGACAGGGCCTGGTATTCTGCGAAGAGTGCTGGCCTAGGAATCCCAGCCCCAGGCTGGAATCGCAAACCCACCGCAGCTGTGGGCACTTAGGCATGTCCCTTAACCTGGCGTCAACTGTCTCAGCTGTAAGCCAGGAGATAAAAGACGTGGGGAGGAAAAGTACTTTGTCACAACTGCGACAGCCCCCACCAAGTGGGAGTTTTCAGCCTAAAACATGTTCCCACTATGCCTCAGTGGTGCCACCGGGTCCCCTGATTTGCATCAGTCAGGGAGGCTTGTATCTATCTCCCAGCCCCAAATTTCACGGGGGCTAGATGTGGGGGTCAGCGCCCATACCCACATCTATTGTCCACATGTTGAATGGAGAGACGCAAGCAGAGCTGGGAGCCGCAGAACCAAGCAGTTTCCTTTGGGGCACATGAAGTCGGGAATGCTGGGCCAGGTCTAAACTGAGCAGACCGAGCTGGAATTTAAAGACCGAGTGACAAAATGCCCTTGAGAGTAAAATTTACAATTTCTCCCCGCAAGCATCAAGGAAAAACTGCCTTGGTTAACACACACAAATGTATTTAAATTGTGTGTGTCTTTGGTCACCCTTGTGGCAGCAAGACTGACAGCCTGACTTCTAGGCTCTGGTTGGGAGTCCAGAGCTGGCTCCCTTTACCCAGGGCAGATTTTGATCTCCTGGCTGATTTGGGTGTTTCCCTCATGTTTTTAAAATTATACTTGTAGCTCTGGTTTTTTGAGTCTACAGTGAAATCTGAGTGGGCAGCTGCTTATACATAGACTCCTGCTTTGAGGAGGTTGTCTTCCTCAACTGCTGAGAAAAATGTGCTGTGGGTGACCCCTGATGGCTCCACACCAAAGGCTTAGCCTCAGCCTCAGGGCAGTATAGGGTCTTGGGCCATGCTAACTGCTATCAGCGGGTCCCAGGGTCTGGAAGAGGGTGACAGAGCAAAGAAAGATGAAAATGTACCCAAGGCCAAGGTCTGCAGGAGCCACCTAAGCACAGACGCTTTTGAGCACCTGGAGGCTCATCAGCTTCCCTAAACTGTTTATAAGTTCAGCGAGCCACACAAAGCAGCTGTCTCACTATTAAGGCTGTCAGGAGTCCACCAGCAGCCCAGAAGAGCACCACTGAGCCTGCTTGCCTGGGACGACCAGCCACAAGTCTCCACTAGGCTGAGGCCAGCAAGGGGGTCTGGAAGCATGAGGGGTGAGGGTGGGGTGGGGCAGCCTGGCTCTACCCTGACACGCTCACTCCTGTCTCTGACCCCTTCTCTACGTGGCTACCACAGCCCCGGGCTGTTCACACACCATCCGTTCACCTCCTTACATTTAGAACAACTGAAAAATGACTTCAAAAACATTTGTAATCTCTGAGAGGTATTCTGTTATAAGCCTGAATTGCCTTTCAGATAGAAATGTTTGAGTCTGAGCCATACGTCAAGGACTTCTCTGCCACTGTGACGCAGCAGGAACAGCAGCATTTCCTGGGCACTTGGCCAGGTGCTTCAGTGCCCCTTTTACGTATGTTAGTTTGATTAGCACCCGCCGCCTAGGTGATCTAGGAGCAGCTGAGGAGGTGAAAAACAGTCATCTCAGCCAGAGGCACAGTTGATCATTTGTCCATGGACTTTCGTTCTCTGAATTTTGCTATAAAATGTGCAAGCGGGACAGGTCCTAGAGCAGGAAGATTCTCCGTTCTAGATTTTGGCAACAGCCAGAGGTGTGCCTTTTGGAAAAGACCAAGCGCCAGCCCATGGAATTCATGCCTGTAAGGGATGGCCGGGCAGGCTTTGCTCAGAAGGCATCTTAGTGACTGAAAAAGCTGCTTTCCAAGAATCCACAAGGAGGTGCTAGCTAGACCAAGCCTCAGGCTCAGGGCCCCTGTGGATTAAAGTACGCAGTTCCCACCTTGCAAGAGTATTTTGAGAACTGTGGGTTACAACTATTATCCCATTATGGTATATCATAATTACTATCCATGACCTTAATTTGGTAAATTATCAGCTCATTTAAAGAAATAAACTAAAATTTCACATCTCTTAGGGCAGGATGGGTATATAGCTTAGCAGAACAATGCCTGCCCGGCAAGTGCAAGGTCATGAGTTTGATTCCCAGCACCAAAACAACAACAACAAAAACCCAGACATCTTAGGGCATTGAATATAAGGGTAAGTGATATGTTGGGGGAAATTTTTCAGTTGTATGTAGTAATTCAATATTTATTTCTTAATGTGGACACAGTAAAAAAAAAAAGTTAAAAACCACTATCTGAGCAGTACATCTACAAAGAAATCCCTAGACTTTGAAAACAATAAAAATAGGTTTGTTTCTCTTTCTGGTTAAAGACACAGCTAACTCTGACTCCTTGCACTAGAGAATGGCTAGAAGCAATGTCTTTGAATGGCTCGGAGCTATGGTAAGAGAGGTAAGGACAAGGAATGTTCTTAATGACTGTGACAAAGCACAGATCAAGTGTCCTCTTCCCTGGTGCCTGGGTGAGCTGTAGCAACCTGATGGGAAGCACGCAGCAGTAGTCTGTCACCTCGGACAAGTACCCATGGTGTCCCTTTTCGGGAACAAGGCCGAGGCACACACATGAGAAAAACGGTGCCCAGTGCAAGCAGTTGGGTTGACTCAGCTGCCCGTAGCAGAGGCTTTGCTTAGAATCAAGATACTGAAGACAAGAAGAGCTTCGTTAAGGAGTGAAGAAGTAAGACAGAATGAAAAAGGGACCAATAATGTAGCTGGGGGGGATCTCTACGATTTTTGAATATCACATTCTTAATTAATAACAAGAGAAAGACCAAGAGGGAAAATCCAAGTAGAAGGGATGGAGGCTCCCTGAGAGAGGGCACCTGGCCTGCTTGACCTCGGCTATATCCCCAGTAGCTGGCCCGTGCCTGGCCACACATGTCTCCATTAGCACTGCAGGAATGTATTAATGAATGGAAGCCAGAATAAAAAAGAAAAGACCAAGATTACTCTAGAAAAGACCGGCTCACAGAACAGACAAGGAAAGGTGAAAGGAGTATAACTCCTGTTTTAGGATAGAGAACTGAGGAAAAAGAGAGGCACTTTGCCCCAGTAGCAGGAAGCATGATGGGAACAACGGAGAGTGTGGAGGATCAGAGACAGCTCTTCCCCAGGGCCAAACCATTATTATTCCCCATAGCAGCTTCAACCCCGGCTGAAAGCTGGAACACCTGGCGAGTGTCTTAGAAAGCACCTGCGCCCAGGCTTCACCCTCGGGTTCTGATCTGGTTAGTCTAGGATGGGACTTGGGCATCAGGCCACTGGTTTTGGTTTTGGTTTTGGTTTTGGTTTTGGTTTTGGTTTTGGTTTTGGTTTGGTTTTCGTTTTCTGTGGTGCTAAGGAGGGAACCCAAGGCCTCACACCTTATGCAAATTCTCTGCTGCTGAGCTACACCTCCAGCCCCACTGGTTGATTTCAAAGATTTGAATGTGCAGCTAAGGCTGAGAAGCAGGGCTCAGATAAATTCCCGAGTCAGGGCTTACAGGACTCTGGGGCCTCGGAAGTTGAGGAGAGAGAAGGGCCCAACACGCAGTACCAGTGTGATTTGGAGAATGCTGGGGCTCCTGCTGTGGGCACTCATGCCACCCTCAGCCATAAACGGGAGTCATCTAGCACTAGTGCTCGCCTGTGTGCCACTGGCTGGTGTAGGAAGGGGGCATCCTGTAGGCATGAAGTGGGCAGCTCAGCTCACTCCTTCCTCAATTGCCACGAGCCTGTATTCCTCCCAGCACAGGGAAGACAAAGATATTTGTACAGCACATAGGACAAGCAGAAAGGACTGCCCTTGGTCTGAGATGACCAGCTAGGGGTCTTGAACCCTCCTGAAGGGCTACAGGGGTCAATGACTTTGCCCATTTGTTAAAGATGCCCATTAAGGCACCACATCCAGGTTCAGGTTTAAATAGCATGTTCTGAACACCTACCAGGTGCCAGGCATCTTGCTTGTCAAGTTCATAAATGTTATTTAATACCATCAATAAAGTCCTGACTAATGTTACCCAACTAGTACATTTAAAAGGAGGCTCCAATCCAAGCCTTTCCTCCATATCCACTCATTTCTCCTGCATGACTAGGAGATGCACCTGGAGAAATGGCTGTAGTCACCCCTCAAGCAGGAAGACCAGGAGGCTCTGGATCTCAGACTGGCGGAGGATGGCCTTTGGCTGACACACCCAATGTGACAGCAGAGTCTGACAGTGTCACTCCCCCTCCCAGAACCTTGAGTCTGAGCGTCTGTGCAGCTGACCAATGCACAGCCTGGGTATGGGAGGCAGCCCAGGGAGAAAGTTCGCTTCCACAGCAAGCCTAGAGGACTGTCATTGTTGGTACCAATCCAGAAGGACCAGAGAACCAAACAGGATTCTCAGACCCACCCACCCAAACTGTGTTCCCCTTTTCCTCTTCTCAGGGACAATCCCATCCAGTGGCAGAGCAAAAGGGACTAGGTCAGCACTGGCCAGAGAACAGCCAGCTGGGCTATAGCAGTCCCCTAGTTCAGTCCTCCTCTTCCTTCTATTGTACAGAGGATGAAGCTGCAGCAAAGAAGAGCTGGAGCCTGGACTGGACGTCCTGATCTAAGTCCAGTGCTCTTTGCCACTCATTATGCAGGCCTGGATTACCACGACCTTTGCAACAAAGGTACTTTGAGTCTAGTTGTTTTGGATAGAAACTAAAAAGCCAGGGACGATTAACAACTTGGCCACAGTTGCTTAGCTAATAAAGGTGGAGATCAAAGCCCTTTTCTCTCACTATGCCCAGGGATACCATGGAGATTCAGCACAGATGCCAACATAACCTGCACCTATCC